TTTTTTTTTTTAAAAAAAAAAAGGAAATTTGTTTTCTTTAGCTCTGAAAGTTTCCCTTGGTATGCATTTATTTATACTAAGATAGTAGACTATTTAACAATTGGGATGGATGATGGATGGATAATGGAGAGAGCGAAAGGAGATCCTTCCTTTATTAATTTTATAAATAACTCAAGGTAGCAAACATAGCTAATTCCTCCTCCTCCTCCAATTTTACCCACAGCAGCAACTCTCTGAGGTGAATTAGACCCAGAGTAACTGGCCAAAAATCATCCAGCCAGCTTTTATATCTAAAATGGCACCCCCTGGCTCATTGGAATGATTAATCGTTCCAATGAGCCAGGGGGACCATCACAATGTTTTTTTCAAGAGCTGGACCCCCTGCTTGGTTCTCAGGAAAGCCGGCTCTGTTTTTTTTGTTGTTGTTGTTTTTTAGCGGTCAGGGAATGGAAGGTATTCCCCGTTCCGTTCTTGCTTGGAAGGGAACCAGGATCACCTGGCATTTGCTTACCTAACAGTCACAAGGCAACGAAGCGCAAAGAGCAGCTTCGCCCAGACATTCCAGGTCAGCCTCTTCCCCCCCCCCCCCACGCTTTCCCCGGGCTGCCTCCGGTTCCAGGTTTAGAGGCGGAGGCCGTGAATGGGATTCCAGCCCGGCGGAGTCACGCTCGCAAAAACCTGCGCTACGCGAAAGCTTGCAAAAGGCACCGCAGGCGCCCCGCACCTCTGCGGAATCTCCGTCTGGGGAGATCTTGCAGCAAGGCCGCAGGGGAAAGGAGGCAGAACCGGGGCCGGCCAAGCCTCATTCCTTCGGATGTAAGAAGCTATAGACGGGGGCAGCCAGCTTCCTCTGGGTGGTTTCTTCCCGCTCGCGTCCAAACAGGAGCAAGTGCTACGAAAATACGCACGGGGAGGGGGGGGGGAGAGACGTTTGACGTTCCTCTTCCCGATTTTCTATAAAAGGGAAAAGGCAGCCGCCCGGCCTCCTCCCTCCCCCCTCGGCCGAGGAATGCCGATCTTGAACCGAAACCCTTTTCCTCGCTTGACCCGCAAGATAAAGAATTCACCCGGCGCCCCCTAGCGGACATTCCCCGCGCCAATCGGAACAAAAGGGGACGCGCGCTGGTCAAAATGAAACGTGATTTATCAAAAAAAACCCACCACCCCATCTTCGCTACTCGAAATAGCGGGATCCTGGGTATTGTCCTCTGTTGTGTCCACAAGCAGGATGGTGAGAACAAGCTAGTAAAACTTTGTTTACTTACAGGATGACTTTAATTTTAAAAATAAAACCTAGACACTTTTGATAAACCTGTTTCACACACGCGCGTGAGAATACCTGATCAGCTTCAAGTTAGAGTCTCTTTAACTGGGAGGGGCGTCAGAACCCCTTTGTGTCCCGTCTCCCCATCCCGTCCCCCCAAATCATCTTTTGTGCTATGGGAAGAGATAACGGGACCAGGGTCTGGTTCCAAGGTGGAAGATGGGAAGAGGAGGAGGAGGAAACACGAAAAGGCGCAGAAGACTGTCAAGAAACTTCGCTCTGATCACTGCAGCTCTTGAGACGAAACGGTAGCAAAGTTGAACTTTGGATGCAGGTCTGAGCACAGATGAGGAAGGAAGAGACAGGCAAAGGGCTGGAAAGAGCAAAAGCCCATATTTGCTTTCCCTTGAAGTACTCTTTGTTTCGGCAGATCCAGGGATGGGGAGCCCATCCTTCGGGCATTAGATGCACAGAACTCGCCCAGCGCATTTGCTGGCTGGATGAATAGGGTTGTGAGGAATTTCCCCGCACATTGTACACCCAGGAATTCACAACTGCCTGGAATGTAGACAACATCCCTTTCATTGTCAAATGGGAAAGCTCCAGGGACAACACAGCCTCCCCCCAAGGTGGCCAGGGGGGGAGGGCAGGGGGGGAAGTCCCACTGATCGGAACGAACCTGTCATCAACCGCCCCCGCGCATCACTGACTTCTCCCGGACTGGCTTTTGGTATGGGGGTGCCTGGATGCGCGCATGCCTATTTTCTGCCTCGTTGCGAGTTAATTGGATCCGTTCCAACCCGCTTCCTGTCCGCCCGCCGCTGATTGGCTGGCGGAGTTTCGGGGGTGCGAGCAACCGACCTCCTTAAAGGCGAGGGAACTCCTGCCGCCGCTCAGTGCAAACAGCCAGGGTGACCACCAGGGGAGACCTGGGGGAAGGGCGAGCTCCTCTTGATCCGTTTCAATCCTCCGGCAGCAAAGACCCAGGATCGCAAAGGACACTCTACTCGCTCGGACGTGTCTATTGACCCAAGGTGTTAAGCCCACGCAGGGGAAACTTCGCAGAACCCAAGAACACCGGGAAGGATTTTTGTACTGAGTTCTATAAAACCACATTTGCTCTCGAGAGGATCTGATTCTGGGGGATCCTTCGCCGCCTCCTACAAAAAGTAAGTCCTGAAGACATTTTTTATTCTACAACTTCGCTTGGAAAAAGACAACCAAGATAACTAGAAAAAAGCTACAGCGCTCGTTTTCTTTCTTTCTTTCCGTCCTTCCTTCCTCCCTTCCTTCCTTCCTTTCTTCTTTCTTTCTTTCTTTCTTTCTTCCTCCTTCCTTCCTTCCTTCCTCCTTCCTTCTTTTCTTTCAATTCTTTCCCTTTCTCCTTCTACCTTGCTCACTCGAGGCTTTGGTCTGTAGTTACGATTTCTCTTCTTCCTCCACCTCACCACTTGTGCGCTGCTTCTTCTTCGAGACGGCTGCTTGTGGTTAGAAGGTGCGAGGGCGAGGTCCGAGTTCGTCGAATGACCGGGGACGGTTTTTTTCTTGCTTGAAGGTTGTCCCTGGGAGCGAGATTCCTGCCATGGAGCTATCCGCTGGTCTCTTTCTCCTTCTGATGCTTGGAGTCGGCACAACCAACCGGATTCCAGGTAAAAATTGTGGGATCGCGGAGGGGGAGAAGACGTCGCGGGTGAATGGGGAGGCGATTCCGACTTGGGAGACTTTCCGCTCAAACTCGGGATTAGGTTTCGAGGGAGAAAGTCTCTAGAGAACCCTCGTCCAGCTTACATCCAGGTAGGGCTGGCAGAAACTGCTTAAAACGGAACAACACAATCGCCACCCAGTACAGCTCTCTTTAACCTGGCGCCTTCCAGCTGGACTTTACACCTCTTGTTCTCTTCTGTGGGCAACACTGAGGAGTTGCAGACCGGGTTGAAAAGACAGTCTCAGTTCCCTGGAAGGATGTCACTTGCCCAGTCGACTTTGCTTGCCAGGCAGTGGTCGCCACTAGCCAGGGGTGGGAAGCTGCCTGTGGGAAGCTGTGGACAGAAATTGTTTCAACTCCTACCCTCAAAACAACCCTATAGAGCACTGCACACCAAGACAACTAGACACAAGTACAGGTCCCCGTCCTCCCAACGCCATCACTCTGCTAAACATATGCACCAAAGGCAAATTCCTCGTGTGTCCAATCACACTTGGCCAATAAAGAAGTCTATTCTATATTCTATTCTGAACTGACGGATGGTGCCCAGATGTGGGCAATTGATTGTCCCGCTTCTCTTGCTTGAGCGGCTCCTCTGGCTGGGGCTTCCCCCAGCTGGGCGGGCTCGGCTGGCTTTGTGGCTTGATATTTGAGAAGGGACGGTGGGGCTCGAGGCGTGCGAGGCGTTTTCCTTCTGGGTGCTGGCTCCGAGCGGACTATTGACCTTGGCATCCGCCTCGCTTGGGGCCAGGGCGCCGCACCAGGCGCACAGCAAAGGGGCGGGTTGGTGGGGTGTCCTAGTTCTGTATAGAAGTTTTATTTATAAAGTAAAAGAGAAGTAGTGGGGAGGGTAAGCCCAGCTGCAGGATTCCCTCACCGGAGGGAGTGGTGGCATTACCCTCAACCAGATCCCTGATGCTTCAGGTGATCCAAGGCATTGGTCCAGTGTTGAGCCAGACTCTAAGCCAGAGGTCTTCAAACTTGGCAACTTTCAGACTTGTGGACTTCAACTCCCAGAATTCTCCAGCCAGCTGGAGTTGAAGTCCACAAGTCTTAAAGTTGCCAAGTTTGGGGACTGCTGCTCTAAGCAATGCTATTTATATCTCCCACCTAGCTGCCCTGGAGCTTTACTGAGCCCCTGCTGTTCGGCTCTCCTTCTTTTGGGGCAGACCTGGCTTTCTATCCTTCTCTATTGCTTTGGGTTCCCTCTTTTGGGTTTGTCCCTCTCACACAGTCTGGATCATCACTCCGGAGTTTCTGCTTTATGTGTCCCTCCACTTTGCAACTTCAGAGTCCCTGGAGGAGACAAAGGGGAAAGGCAAGAAGAATTCCAGACTTCAGTTTCTAGTTCATTTGGCCAACCGTTCTCCTTTGATCCTCTTGGCTCGTTCAACCAGGAAAAACTGGGAAAGCCAAGTATTTTGCAGCTCACCTCTATTGCTTTGCTGCAACAGAACCCAAGCTGTAGTGATGGGAGATTGCTGTGTGACCGGAGGATTTTTAAGATCCTTTACTCTATAACTTTGGGCAGCATATATTTCTTGGGGCTCCTCTTACCTACAAAAGAGAGAGTCCAATTATAACAGCAGTAGCAGCTAGACCTTATGTGCCCTGCCCAACATAACCATCTCTTTCTGTCTCTCCCTCCCTCTCCCTTATCTTGACAGAGACCAGTGATGACAACAGTGTTTTCGATTTCTTTGAGTTAATTGGCTTTGGCCGCAAGGGAGGTCACAAAGGAATGGGGGTGCATCCGACCAAAGGACTGGAGGCTTTCAGCCCTGCCTACCGCATAGACGATGCCAACCGTATCCCTGCGGTTCCTGATCACATATTTCAAGACATTCTGTATTCCATCCAAGCTGAGAAGGGCTTCATCTTGTTAGCTAATCTTCGCCCGATAAAGAAGGTTGCTGGCACCATACTGGCCGTGGAGCGCAAGGACAATTCTGGCTACATTTTTAAGTTGGTGCTAAATGGCAAGGCAAAAACTTTGGACCTGAGTGTCTTTCCCGATGAAGGTAACCAAAGTTTGGTGTCAGTGGAGGAGGTGAAGTTGCCCCTTGCGCGATGGAGTAGCATCACCCTCTTTGTGCAAGAAGATCAGGCTCAGCTCTACGTAGGCTGTGATAAAATGACAAACGTGGAGCTGGAAATTCCTATTCAAGACATCTTCACTCGGGATCTGTCCAACAGAGCCAGGCTCCGTCTTGCTAAAGGAGGAGTTAATGACAACTTCCAGGTAAGAGACTTCCTTACAACAGCATCAAGAGTCCAATTCAAGGGAGCCAATTTGATTTGCCATTTTGGGGGAAGAAATAGTTTCAAGAAAGTAGATTTGTTGCCCCTGACTACTCATTGTTGACTACTATCCACAGCAATGGGGATTTTGCTGACACTTGGAATATTAAATGTACAGTCAAAATGCATCCAATGGTGTAAGCTTTAAATTGAACTTGAGTTTTCTCTTACAAATTAGGCAATGTTAGGATTTGATCATTGTTGATGTTGAAAGGAAGTGGAAAAACTGATTTATTATCAACTAATGAGAATTCTGGCCAGTATAGTTTATGCTTGCATTACAAATGAAAACAATAACATATTTAAATATAGGCATGAAAATTCTTACCCATGCTGAATTAAATATAGGTCACTCCTAACCCAAGCTGACTAATAAATTACAGGCAAAAATAATGTGAGAGTTAAAACATAAATTGATGATTGTGCCCAAATAAACAACACATATACTGTATATATGCATCAAGAATTCCCCTTGCAATAGTGATGGATTATTTCAATCCTTATGTTTTCAGGGAATGCTGCAGAATGTGCGGTTTGTGTTTGGAACTACGCTGGAAACCATCCTGAGGAATCAAGGCTGTCAGATCTGTACGTTAGAAACCTTTTTCTTCAAATGTATTTGCCCATTGATTATAAGAGTCCTGTTTATGTGAGGTGAATGAGTTTAGACCCAAGGTGGTATTCAGCAGGTTCTAACTAGTTCTGGAGAACGGGTAAATACCACCTCTGACTGGCCCCGACCCCATCTATTCTCTGCCTCCTGAGTCCCATCTGATCAGGAGGGAATGGAGAGTTTACAGTATCCTTCCCTTGCCACGCCCACCAAGCCACGCCCACAAAACCACACCACACCCACAAAACCACACCCACAGAATCAGTAGTTAAAAAAAAATTGAATCCCACCACTGGATTAGACACAAAATGAAATGCAGCCCACTGTATTTTAAGGAAATAATGCCTTACATTTGTTTAAACTGAATTCTGTCAGTTTTGACAGTGTTTCTATATATAATCTGTATGTGTTTTAATTGGGTTTGTTTTTTTTTAGCTACTGGAACACTTATTAAATTAGACAACCCCATGAATGACTCCCGCCCAGCCATTCGCACCAACTACATTGGCCAGAAAACCAAGGACATCTGTGGCTTTTCTTGTGACGATCTAACCAAAATGTTTCTAGAACTGCAAAGACTGCGTGCCCTGGTTGTAAAAGTTCAAGACTATGTCGAGCAGGTGGTAAGTGGATATTAAATACCCAAGAAAGAATCAAAAGCCTCCTAAGGACTCCTTGACTCATAAACGCTAACTATTTTCCATTCCACAATGATGGGAAACAGACATTCACTTACAGTACTGTAAGAAAGAAATATTTTTAAGTGAGCAGCCTGGGCAATGTTTGAGAAGAAAGCTATTTTTATTTCTTCTCAGCCGCCAACCCAAAATGCTTCATAGATGTTAAGCCATAATTAGCTTAACTAATCTGTATTGTAGTATGCTGAATGAAATATAATGTTTAGCTTCACATAATTATGTTAAATCAAAGCCAATATAGCATTACATTAAATTTAGTCTAATATGAATAGTTTTTGCAACTGACCTAAAAGTAAATATGTCCTGCTGTACATGTAACCCTTTACTTACTCAGCAAACATTCAAAGTTACAATGAAAAACCTATATACAACCCAGATTTGAAGTTCCAATAGAGAGCCACCCTCCACCCTATGGTCATGTGATCTCATTTTGGATGCTGGCAATTGGCCCACATGCATGATTGTTTGCATGGTCACATGACTGCAATGTATCACATTTTTGCTGGAAACTAGCATTTACTTCCAGTTTCCAACAACCCTCCCCCCCCATCCTATAGGGCTTACAGCCTTTGCTTAAAGTCATCAAATTGGATGCAGTCACAAGATGACCCACTTAACAACTAGCACAATTATTAGCATAATTGTACGTTCAGTTATGGTTTTAAATTGAGGTCTACCTATAGTCATTTGCAGTATTTTTATTAAACTTTCTCTAGCAACTATGGTCCTCAAAATCTGGCTAAAGTTTATATCTGTATATAGTCCAGCTTCCCCTGAAGCTTCTCCATATGGTCTAACATAGGTGAGCAATCAAATGGAGAAAAATAAATGTATTACTTTAGTAATATTGTTTAAATACTATGAAGATATTTAGAACTATAGCATTTAACATGGAATCACAATCCTTTCTAAGTAATCAGTGTAAAAGCAATTTTATTTTCTTCAGATTCAGACTGATTTATAAATCTTTATTATTATCTCTTCCTTTTATGTCTGATGTAAAGGAACTTATCGCCCCAAATATAATAAAGAAAGGAATATGCTTCCACAATAATGTTGTGTATGAAAATGCAGCTGAATGGACCACTGATACCTGTACCACATGTACCTGCCAGGTAAGATTCTTTACAGCTAACCCATCAGTAAACGATTTACCATGTACCTAGTTAGCACATAAAGGGACGTGGTGGCTCAGGGGCTAAGATGCTGAGCTTGTCGATCAGAAAGATAGGCAGTTCAGTGGTTCAAATCCCTAACACCGCATAACAGAGTGAGCTTCTGTTACAAATCCCCGCTTCTGCCAACCTAGCAGTTTGAAAGCATGTAAAAATGCAAGTAGAAAAATAGGGACCACCTTTGATGGGGGGGGGGGGTAACAGCATTCCGTGCACTTTTGGTATTTAGTCATGCTGGCCACATGACCCCTGTCTTTGGACAGTGCTGGCTCTTCAGCTTTGAAATAGAAATGAACACCGCCCCCTAGAGTCAGGAATGATTATATGTGCGAGCGGAACCTTTACCTTTACCTTACTTAGTACATTATGCACAATGTAACTCATGCAGAAAAATTGGTGACCCAAATATCTATTTACTGTCTTTATAAGAAAGTTTTCAACTTAAACCTGCCACCATCTATAAGTTGTGAATGAATATTTGCAGCAAGGAAAGTTCTACTAAACTTGCTTCCTAATCAGAGCTGCATTTTTGGCAGTTTAAGACAGTTGTATTTGGCTAAAGCTTCTGTGATTTTCTTTATACTACTGACATCTAATTCAGTCTTTGTTTATGTTATCCCCTAAAGCTACAAAAACATATTGTCTATTATCCTTTAAAGAACAGAATTGGCAAAGGTTAACATTCCTTCTTTTGCACAGTCATTTGTTTTTTGTTTTTTTGGCATAAGATGAAAATACACATCATGCTACAACATGGATTTGTTTGAATGTGGAGCCAACTTACCTAAATCCATTCTATCAATGACTCTGATGATCAAATAAATTCAGGCGCATAACCAAAATGGCAACTTTGAGAATTTTTATTAGCCTAATGAAACAAGATCTGGAAAGCTACTCAACAAGATTTGGTTTTCCCATTTAATAGTAACTATTGATTAAATAAACGAAGGGATACAAAAAGAAATAAGGGGTGCAAATAATTGAAATGAATGATATTTATGGGTTTGCTTTGATTTCAAAAAGCCTCAAAACCAAAAGCCAAACTACCCATTGTTCAGATTCTGTTATATGCTGTCTAGAATCTGAACAATCTTATTAAAATTGCATTCAGCTTAATGGGGCTGAAAGTCCAAAATAGGCTTCAAAACTTATAGTCAGGACTAAAAAAAAATCTGTCCTGATTGTAACATTTGAAGCCTATTTCTGGCTTCATGATTACTAACCTGAGGACATAAGTTGTTTTAAAGTCAATTCCTAAAGTATCTTTACCGCTTCCAGTTGGAAAGAAGATGGGCTTATTTTCTCTTTCTCTTCTCCCATACTAATTATAGTATCTCCTTTCTAAAAGTTAAACAACTGTTGGGAAAAAAATACTTTGAACAATGGAGTATGACTGGTTGTAGAAAAGCATTAAGGCATTGGGAAAAGAAATGTCAGATGTATGTATTTTTTAATATGGGGGTTTCTTTTCCCTGTTTAGAATTCTGCTGTAATGTGTCATAAAGCATCTTGTCCTGTCATGCCTTGTTCCAATGCCACCGTTCCTGATGGTGAATGCTGCCCACGATGTTGGCGTAAGTAACTATCCCCTTAACTTATTTTATAGGATTTAGTTTATTTATTTATTTGTTTGTTTTTGCATTTCCAGTGTCTGTACTTAGGAGGTAACAGTTACCTCAAAAATTGTATATGTGAGAGAGCACAGTTTCTAGCCCGAAATTCTGAAACTAATGCAGACATCTTTGAAATTGCCACTACATTCAGGATCAGCTACAAAATATTAGATTTTGAACTAAGGACACAATAGCAATCTTTTTTTTTAGTTTGCAGAAAGATGGCTTGTGTCAAAGTAACTTGAATTAGGTAAACGTTAAAAGTCAAATAAAATCAAGACAGACCTACAAATCCAGTCAGAATAGCATACATGAGAATAAAATTTTCTAAGAATGATGAAACTCCCACAAGTTTATTCTGAGTTGTGTTTGAGGAAAACAAAGCAAAATCTTAAGAGTTTTTCATATCCCTTGGGAGATTTCAGGAACTGGTAGCATGAATATCTCTGTTTATTTTATTTTCTTGGGTGGGCACAAGGTGTCCTATAAATCTCAAAAAATATGTTACACGAGACCTTGATCATCTGGTTCTGAATATCTCGTACAAATATTCATATGTAATTTGGATAGTTCGGTTATCAAAGTTCAGAGTAAATGGAAATTTACAGAACAATATAGAATCTTTCACTCTATTATTCTGACAATCTCTGCTTCCTATTGAGGTAACTTGTAAGAAGGTGGTTGTTTTTATTTTATTATATATTTATTATATTTATTTTTCTTCTTTTTACAGCAAGAGATTCTGCAGATGATGCTTGGTCTCCCTGGTCTGAATGGACCTCTTGCTCTACAACCTGTGGCAATGGGATTCAGCAGAGAGGCCGCTCTTGTGACAGAATCAACAATCCTTGTGAAGGCTCCTCTGTGCAAACACGGATATGTAACATGCAAGAATGTGATAAGAGATGTGAGCATTTAAATTCTTTACATTACAGATAGCTGCTACCTATTTTTACTCTGTCTTTCCATACTTAATATAGGAAACATTGATTTACTTCAGATTAGTGTAAAACATTTGGTTGTAATGGGATGTATGAGATGTCGATGATTAAAACAAAAATACTTCCTATAAAAATGATTTTCTGATTCAAGAGTCAGCAATGTCTAAACATTTTTCCAGCATGGTAATTAATAGAAGAGAATATTTGTAGCTCAGGTTGAGCTGTGGGTTCATTAGTGCTCTCTGAATTTGGTTCTTTTCTTGTAGACATTTCATTACCCAACTAGGTAATATCATCAGTCCTAGCATAATCAAACTCAAAGAGTTCCAAGGACCCCACAGTATGGTAATGTCCTAATCGACTGTTACAATATTTTGATATTCACTAAGCAACATTTTACTGCTTACAGTCAGACAGAATGGTGCTTGGAGCCATTGGTCCCCTTGGTCTTCCTGCTCTGTTACTTGTGGAACTGGGTTAATTACTCGAATCCGTCTGTGCAATTCTCCACTTCCTCAGATGGGAGGCAAAACGTGTGAAGGGGAGGCACGCGAAAACATGCCTTGCCAGAAAAGCCCATGCCCAAGTAAGTTCACTGTTTAAAATGATTTTGTGCAAGAAACATGATAGCCTTTTAATATTCATCGTCTGAGACTGAGAACAGGAATTATTCAATCATTTTCAAAAAAATCACCCAAATCAACCTGAATTTCTAATACCAATGGCATTTCCCCCTTCAGTTCCAAGAATATTCCAAAAATATTCCTTTTTTTGTTACAGTTAATGGGAACTGGGGACCATGGTCACCTTGGGATGCCTGTCCAATTACATGCGGAGGAGGCATTCAGAAACGCAGCCGTCTCTGCAATAATCCAGAGCCCAAATATGAAGGGAAGGATTGCATTGGTGATGCAACAGCCACTCAGATGTGCAACAAGCAGGATTGCCCAATCGGTGAGTAATGGCTCATCATGAACTATCAAGCAGCATATGTAAGAGTGTTGTGTCATTTTCAGAAAAGTCTGGGAATGCATTGGGAATGCAACAACTTAAATTTTATAACAAAGAAATGTGAAATATTTTGGCAAAATGACTGCATTATGGCTTCTGTGATCTTGTTGCTACTCCTGGTACTCTATCAGGTATTTTTTAAGGTGGCCACCTCATTCTGTCTAATAACACGAACAGCCAAGAAAATAAAACTTAATTTGTGCCAATTTTCCTTCTGTTTTTAGATGGATGTCTGTCTAATCCTTGTTTTGCGGGAAGTAAATGCACTAGTTTCCCTGATGGTTCCTGGAAATGTGGTCCGTGCCCTGCTGGCTATCAAGGAAATGGAATTAGATGCAAAGATATCGATGAAGTAAGATAATATTTGCATGCATTAATATAGTCAATGTTCAAGGTGTTTGCAAATGAATCTATGGCCAAACCTTTCTCCCTCTTCTTCATATTTCAGTGCCAAGAGGTCCCAGATGCATGCTTTGTACTTGGTGGAGTACACAGATGTGAGAATACTGTACCTGGTTATCACTGCCAGCCTTGTCCCTCCCGCTTCACTGGACCACAGCCTTTTGGTCGAGGTGTGGAAGATGCAATGGCAAACAAACAGGTACTGTCAACATAGAGATGTTTCCTGTTTATGAAACTTAAGTCCTTTCTGAATATATGACCAAGAATTAAAGAAGATACCAGGTAGCAGTTTACTTTATTACATGCAGCCATGTGATTTTGTTCAGAAGCACCCAGTTGTATATAAGAAATTCAGTTTGAATTAAGCTGGAAACCCATAAAATAAGCAAGTGGGGAACCAAAAACAATGGATGGAATTCACTGGGCAGTCCTTTCTTTTGTGTAAAGAGAGTGACAACTGAGAATTGAAGCCCCCATTGGTATCTAAAATATGATAAAGAAAACCATATACTTAATTCTCTTTAAAGAGAATTCACACAAAATCACAGTCAATGGCTGCTTGCTTTGAAAACACAAGTAAAAATGTCAGTCCTCCTTTGATACATTAAAAGAAGAATGAGGTCCATCTCTGCACAATCCCCCCCAAAAATTGTATCACTAAGATGGACAAATTAACACTAAAATTAAAAGACAAAGAAGAGTCGGAATATTATGAAATTTGGAACAATTGGTACAAATAGAACAAACAAGAATAACATTAATTAATCCAAAAAACTATATATATGGAGGGAGAGAGAGAGAGAGAGAGAGAGGGAGAGAGAGAGAGAGAGAGAGAGAACTGTGTATAAAGGTTTATAAACATAAAAGCGAAATAATATTTACATGTACAGGTATATGACATAGTAATGTTGATATAATGGTGTTGTAGAAGGAAAATAATAATAATAATAATAATAATAATAATAATAATAATAATGAAGAATAAGGTAAAGACATCTCTGCAAGTGTATTCTTAATTCTGTCTTAGGTATGCAAGCCACGTAACCCATGTGCTGATGGAACTCACACCTGCAACAAATATGCCAAGTGCATCTACCTTGGACACTTCAGTGACCCAATGTATCGCTGTGAATGTAAACCAGGGTATGCCGGCAATGGGGTTATCTGTGGAGAAGACACTGACTTAGATGGATGGCCAAATGAGGACCTTCTCTGTGTTGCCAATGCTACTTACCACTGCACTAAAGTAAGCATATTTCTTCATTACATGCCATTCCACCCTTTAATATCAGGGGAAAGTAGTTTGGTTAGTATTTTAATGTGAGCTTATTGAATTAATGCTTCTTAAATGAATTCATGAGATAAAACAAAGTGGCCCTTTAGTTTTCTCATTTTTCCAAATTTTCTGATGCAATCTTCTGGGGAAAATAATCATATACCTAAAGGAGATAGCACAAAAAAGCACAATATTATGAAGATATGATAGTTGACATTTACTATGCAGTCAATATATTTAAATAAATTAGTTGCCATGGTTTTGCCACAATCCAAATTTACTGAAATACATTGATACTCACATGTAGTTTTTTTAAACTGCTTATTTTGTATAAGCATAAGTGTTTCAGATTAATTTCGTGTTGCTATTGTTCAAAAATAATGATTTTAGTGATGCTGACAATGCTCTAAATTAAAGAATCAGTAAGACAGGTGATTAAACAACAACAATACTGTCTTTGTAATCATGAGTACTACTTTGTGTGAAATTAAAGACATGTGTTCTGTATCTTTTTCTGCAGGATAATTGCCCCAACCTTCCCAATTCTGGACAAGAAGATTATGATGGTGATGGAATTGGTGATGCCTGTGATGATGATGATGACAATGACAACATTCCTGATGATAGGGTAAGTTTAATAAAAAATATTCATGTTCCTCTGTGACAATGTCCACCTCAGTGATAGCCAAAGACCAAAAGAAAATTGCATGTTCAGTGAAACCTTGGAGTGGATTAGTTGAGTTCTTCCCATGCAGTCAGTGAAAGAAAAAGTAAAATATGAAATAAAAATCCTTACTCATTTCCTACTCTATTCATAAAAGAACAGGTTTGCCCACCAATATACTGTCCCTCTCTACCACTAACATAAAACACACAGAGAGAAGGAGATTGAATCCATGATACGAGATTGAAAGATAGCAGCAATTTGAAATAGCTAATTTGTAGCTAAAAATTGATTTTTTTTTTAAAAAACCAATTTTGCAATAAAATATGGATGCTGCATTGCTTATCACCTTTATTACTGCTCACCTTTCATTTACATGTCAAAGAAATAATCCTCGCAACATGCCTTTGCTACCCTTCTTACTCTAATAAATCTACTGAATAGGTTATTCATGACACTAATATCTGAGCATATTTTAACAAGGCTTTAAAATTTTCCTTCTGCAGGATAACTGTCCATTCCATTACAATCCACAACAATATGACTACGATAGGGATGATGTTGGTGATCGTTGTGATAATTGCCCATACAATCACAATCCTCTTCAGATAGACACAGACCAGAATGGAGAAGGCGATGCCTGTGCTGTGGATATTGATGGAGATGGTAAAGTTTGGTTACTTCTTCCTTTCTTCTATTATGGCATGACTGTCATTTCAAGAGAGAGAGCCTGCCCTTGAGCAAATTCTACTCTTAATGATGACCTGGATATACCAAACATTTCAAATAAATAAATGAAAAATAGAGAAACTAAGTTATAAACTTGCCATTTTAGAGGAACATATTCTAATAGCATCCCATGTTTTTCATCTGCTTATTTTATGTCATACATGGCAGCTTCTATAGAAGCAGATTTAATTTTATACTGCATCCTATTTAATTTGTAGATATAGTTGAAAATGTGCTGCCATTGAACGGTTAACTGAAATGTCAGTTCTATTAGTGCTAGATGCTTAAAGAGATAGGCTATGATTTTGGCTTCTATGAACCATTTTTTCTTAATTATTTTTATGCAATAACTTATTATCTAGATGCATTTACCATTAAAAATACCTGAATGGGTTACTCTATATTTCCAGGCATTCTTAATGAAAGAGACAACTGCCAGTATGTGTACAATGTGGATCAAATAGATTCAGACTTGGATGGTGTTGGAGATCAGTGTGACAACTGTCCAATGGCGCATAATCCAGATCAGGTCAGTTTAACTGCACTTGGGCAAGTAAATATTTATTTAATCTTCTAATTTACAGAATGTCATGTATAGCTCTGCAACAGAGGTGGTTGCTATCAGTTCGCACTGGTTCGGATGAACCAAAAGTGGAAATTGCCACTTTTTAAATGTTCTGTGCAGGCACAGACCTATTTATAGGCAACTGCATATGCTAAGTTGCACAACCTAAGTATTTCAGGAATTTAGCAATAAAAATACTGTTAATATGTCAAACAATATATAGTCTGCAAAAAAGTTTTTATCATGACTTATGATGTCCTGAAGCTAGGAATTTAGTACAAAAATGCACCCATAAAAATGCTCATTGGGGGTAAAGGATAAAGTAGTACACCACCAGTATATCACCAATAGGGTTTTTTTTTAATTAAAAAAAAGCTCAAAATAATTTTTAGTTGATTAAGAACTAAAAATTTGGAGAGATCTATCTCATCCCATTTAATTCACTCAAGTCTAAATTAGCAGTGGGAAAAGCCTGTATAGTACTCAGCAGCATAATTGAAATGCTTGAATAGTCCTTGTCAAAGTGCAATAAATAGCCAGAATCTAGATTTATCCTGCAGGTTATCTAGTTAAAAGGATATGTACCAAAACCATATTGGTTTCCAAAATAATGTACCACATTAAGCACCACAATGAATTATGTCTAGATTTAAGAGGAAAATCTGTTTCAGAGGACTTATTTTGTGTGGTGGCTAAAACTAAAGATCAATTGTTTTTTATAGGATTTATTTAATATAGCCTTCTACATGCAAACATTGTCTGATTATATTTTAGAAAGGCAGAAACATTTTGGTTCCTACCATCCTTAAGAACGCACTACAGATAATAATAACCTGTTTCCCTAAAATAAGCCCTCCCCAGATAATAAGCCCAAACTGACTTTTGGGTGCATGCACTAAAATAAGCCCTCCTCTGAAAATAAGCCTTCCCCAAAAATATTGCAACACAGCAGCAGCCATGAGGTGACCATACTCGCCACCTCCTTCACCTCAAAAATAATAAGACCTCCCTGAAAATAAGGCCAAGTGAAAATAAGAGCGTATCTTATTTTCAGGGAAACATGGTAGAAGCCACAGCAAAGTTTGACTTTTCCCAATATGCCAAAGCAAACTGGATAGGCGCTAAGAGATTATATTTCACTAACTGAAGGTAAATCCTAGACAGAGCTAAAATACCCAATAATTCCAAACTTTGAGTGCACATTAGTATCTTACTATACATATTTATCTCTGTTCGCTTTAGTAAAGTGAAAGGCCCATGCTGGCAAAAAACACTTGTCCACAAGCTATTGAAATGAAGAATTCAATCAGACCATTGGAGGCTCAGCCCTAAAAGAGACCTCTGGATTGCCTCCTGTTTCAAGATGCTATCTTCTAGGGTTTGTAAATCTTTGTCCTGACAAATGTTCCACATTTTGCTTTCAGATGGATTCAGATTCCGATCGCATAGGGGATAAGTGTGATGACAACCAGGATATTGATGAAGATGGCCACCAGAATAATCTCGATAACTGTCCTTATGTGCCCAATGCAAACCAAGCTGACCATGACAAAGATGGGAAAGGGGATGCCTGTGACCACGATGATGACAATGATGGCATTCCCGATGACAGAGATAATTGTAGATTGGTTCCCAACCCCAACCAAGTTGATTCAGATGGTAAGAAAGATAACTTGCATGAAATTAGAAAAAGACAGCATAACATTTAGACATGTAATGCAGTCTTCAATGTGGTTTACTACAAAGTGTTAATATGAATGAATATGTTGTTTTTCTGCAAATGCAACATTCCTTTACTCCTTGTAATATTGTAATAATTTGTAATAATTTAAATTTTGTTTGTTTGTTTATTAAAATGTTAGGTTACTCCAATTTGTATATCGCTGAGTGGCAAACTGTCCATACATAGAGTACATACACACATACCTTTTCTACATCTAGAAAAAAACAATAGAAACAATGCCTAGAGAAAAAAACAATCAATTTAACAACTGAAATATCTTCCAAGGGGTATATATCACCCATGGTAACTCAGGATCAGGGAACATAGCCAGGTTTTAAGGACATGTTTAAACCGGCCCTCTTGTTTAAACATTTAAAAGTTGCTGTTATTTAATAATTCTTAGCTACTAAGAATTCCAGCCACTTAGCTAATTCCTGAACTGGTTCATATGTATAATTGCTCAAGCTATCTGCTACTGAAAGTCTAAAATATACCACATGTTTGGCTTTGATGTTCATTTCTCTCTTTCTGAACTCATCCCTTATTCCTCCCTTTTTTGCCAGGTGATGGGCGGGGAGATGCATGCAAAGATGATTTTGACAATGACAAGGTTAATGACATTGATGACGTCTGCCCTGAGAATGTTCACATAAGTGAGACAGACTTCCGTCGATTCCAGATGATTCCCTTGGATCCGAAGGGAACATCTCAAATTGATCCCAACTGGATTGTTCGTCACAAAGGCAAAGAACTGGTTCAGACGGTCAACTGTGATCCTGGACTTGCTATTGGTGAGCATCAAAGTTCTGGCTTCTTTTATAAGTGCATGCCTGCACACACATCCACTGAGACTCATCTCCTTCTGATCAAACAAAACCCTATTGTTGTATGAGGATAAGGGTATTCTTCACCTCATCACCATGTTTACAATTGTTTTAAACTTTATTTTTTTTAAAAAAATGTTTTTCATAAAGCATTCTTAAAAATACCAGCTGCTCGGTTTTTGGAATGAACAGGCACTGAAAGAAAGAGGGCAAGGATAAAAACATTGATTTCAGGAAATTAAACAACAACAATGTTGCTTAAGCTCCTTTAAGCCTTATCCAATAGGACAATAAGTCTGCATAACAGAACTTATGAATATACATACAAAAGCTCTTTCTGAATACTGGATCCCAGTTCAGTGTGCCTATTCATTTTTGCTTTTGCTGGAAAGATGCAGCATTGCATAATGCAATAGATGTAAATTGTGATTTAAGATGCAATCATGAATCGTAGTTCTAATTCCATTTAATTTCAATTCATTCTTTAAAAATAGTTTGACAGGGCAAATAGTGAGAGGAAAAACGTAATCATCCATAAAATATATGTTTTGATTAGAAGTTTTGAGTACAAACCCCAGACCAATTTTAGAGAGGGAGAGAGAAAGATTTGTTAATGAAAACCTTACAAAGGATGGACTTTAAAGCATGAATTGACATCCATCTGACGCTAACAGTTACTTATTTTTCTTTTTCCTAGGTTTTGATGAATTCAATGCTGTTGACTTCAGTGGTACTTTCTTCATTAACACGGAAAGAGATGATGACTATGCTGGCTTTGTATTTGGGTATCAATCCAGCAGCCGTTTTTATGTGGTCATGTGGAAGCAGGTTACCCAAACATATTGGGAATCACAGCCAACCAAAGCTCAAGGATATTCAGGTCTTTCTATCAAAGTAGTGAACTCTACCACAGGTCCTGGAATGCACCTTCGTAATGCCTTGTGGCATACTGGAAATACTATTGGACAGGTAATAGATCATTTCTATTATTAATGAATTCATTTTTCGTTTCAAAAACCTTGGCAAATTATACTATTGAAAGACATAGAGATCTTAAAATATTTTAAGCATAACAAAAAATTTTTTAAAGGAAACTCTTCTGTACCTGCTAAGAGCTTATGTTTTATCTCCAGAGCTTATATAAGTGTAATTACAATGTACAATGTAATTTTGTACAATATACAAATCATCCTTACATTTACCTTTCAGGTAAAGACCCTGTGGCATGACCCTCGTCAGATAGGTTGGAAAGATTTCACTGCTTATAGATGGCGTCTCAGTCACAGGCCCAAAACTGGCTTCATTAGGTAAGCATCACCGATATAGACTGAACAATTTATATCTTTTGGGAAAGGCTTATTCAAGGTTACAGTGTAAGTACCATATATTATTTCATGCTAAAGATTAATGATCACTACTCTTCCTGACAGAGTGGTAATGTATGAAGGAAAGAAGATCATGGCTGACTCTGGCCCTCTCTATGACAAAACCTATGCTGGTGGTCGCTTAGGACTGTTTGTCTTCTCTCAGGAAATGATATTCTTCTCTGATCTAAAATATGAGTGCAAAGGTAAGAACTTACCTTGTTTTGTTAGATTTAATAGCATGAAGTATTTAGTATATCTTTATAAACTTAATATTTTTAAAATAATAAGTGTTAGATCATACTTAATAAATATAAATAAAAAATGTGTTTGCAAATAGAGTTTTTTTTGCTGGATAAAGAAAGGATCTTAAATTTAAGGTGATTTAAATTAAATAACTATTTGAATTACAGATATCTGATTTGAGCAACTGCTTCATTAGAGAAGCAGTAGGCTTGTTACTCTGGCATATTTTCCTTTGAAATAACCCCACCTTTTGTACAAAAACAAGTACAGTTAGTTCTTCATTTTGAATGCTGATTACTGTTTTATCAATTTATCCCTAATTGTAGTTGCTTAATTACTAAACAATTGATGGTTTTTGTCTCTCTTTTTTTGCAGATCAATGATTGGAAGGCAATTAATTAGAGAAATTCGAAATGCTGGTATTGCACCTTCTGAACAGTTAAATTTCTAGGAACCTTGGGGGAACCATTTGTTGTGTTGTGTTTTGGCTTTTTGCTCATTCCTCTCTTCCTGCCTTCATGAGACTCAGACTACATGACCTGTTTCGAGGGAATGCTGTTGAGAGAGAGAGAAATTTGCAAATCTTCCCATCTCATCTCTGTTAGCAGAGAAGAAACATGTCTTTCAGGAACAAGAACATTCCTCTGCTTCAGAAATGAATAGACATTTCTTTGAGAAATATGTTTGTAGTAGCTGGGCATTGTCACTGCCTCTTTTTAACTGGAGGTCCAATGGATCAGCACTTTTGCAACAAGGGTATTTTTGTATGGACTACTTAAAAATTAAACCAGAGGTTTCAACCTATAGAGGAAGGAAAGGAAGAAAGTTTGAGTTAGGTTTGAGTTTTCCTCCCTTTCTAAAAGACGGCTATGCTTCCTAGGGTTCATGTCAAGGTAAATTGGATGAATCGTTACACACTGTCCTGGATCATTATCCAGTGCACATTTGCTCAGGCATAAGCCCCACTTAATTCAGCAGTATGGATCACTTTATGCTCACACCTAAGATTATACCTTAGTTCTGTGTCCACAAATAGGGCCTATTTTGCTTAATTGTGTAGGAAAATACTTGCAAGTTATACTTGCTAACTAGTCACATGCAATATTAACATTTTTTTTTTAAATTACAATGGGGCAAATGAAAACAATCATGGCACTTTTGATTCAAGTAGGGTTTTTTTGTGGGGGGGGGGGAGGACAGCAAGGAACATATGGGTAAAGCAAGATTTCCTGTGCTGCTGCATCCAAGATCTGGTTCTCATGCAGATCGGGCAACAATATTAAAAGTGTCAAAAAGCACTTTCATCTCAATTTAGCACTTGTGGTGGCCTTCAGCAAATTTTCATAAACATTTTTATGAAAATTTCAAAAGCACAATGAGTGGCGAGTACAGTTAAATGCAAAATTCTGTTCTACACAATGCAAGGGTGAGGGTTTTTTTAAAAAAAAATGTTCCAAAAAAAGGGGTTTTGTGGAAGACATCTGTAGATAAAATAAATGTAAAATATTTATTTTTTACCTATCCTGCCTGTTCCAAATAACAAAGGACTGTAGATTGAAACGGAAACAATGCGTCAAGACTATCCATTTTGCTACATTTTTCTATGACAGAAAGATTGTAAATAAAGGTTATTTATTGTTCTAAATGAATTTTGATAGTTACTTTTAATACTATTTTAGATTGCAAAGAGTAAGTTCCCCTAAGCAATGTGGAACAATAGGGTAGGAATTGTTCTCAGTATGTTTTCTTCCTCTGTGCAAAACAGCTGACAAAGTAACCAAGCAGGCTACTTATTGTTGTATTGCCAAAGCAGAAAAATGTATACATGTTGACTGTCCCTGTCGGTCAAGAAAAAAAATGGAATAGCTTCAAATCACCGTAGGTCACATTCCTTTGACCTATGATATTTGCACAGGAGGTATTTGTGTGTTAGCTTTGCCACCTTTGTAATATTGCTGGCTAAGATTATGGTACATTCATGTTGGTCAATATGCCAAATAAAAAAGAAAAAATATTTTGGAGGATACGGAGAACTTCATTCCAACAGAATACCCAATTTTCTCACCAGTATGGACTGCAGAAGACACATTGCAAGGGGGAGGGGCATGTTTGGAGCATCATTTGAAGACTGCTTGTAGTGTAAGGCTAGCTTCACTTTCTCTCCAACCCTGTTACTAGAAAACAAGGAATGTCAAAGGCGAATTTTTTAATATACAAATATTACCTCATTGTTGTTTGACTGAAAAATGAAAAAAAACCTTTGAATCAAGCAGAGTTTAAATATCTAACAAAATTTAAAGCTACTGTAGTATTAGAAGGAGGTTTTTTTTTAATAAAAAATATATATTGCAAGTTGTATATAGTCAAAATTCATATTCCCAGTAAGAAAACAGCATTGGAACAGTGCTGAGAACTATTTCTTATATTCTGTTAGATTTTTTTTCTCTTTGACAACTTGTATTCCATTCCTTGAATTTGTATAAATTATTTTTTTTTCATAACTGTTGGAATAGTTAATCTCCTGTTTGTGTAGATGTTCTATTTAAATAAATTATCAGGAAATGCTATCCGTAGAGCTGTAGCGCTTCTATTTTTATATTTCATTTGCACACTGAACTGAAGAATAATTTGATTTTCCTCCCCAGTAGTGTTGCTATTAGTAAATACTTTTTTCAAAGAATGAGCATATTTTGTACACATTTTAACCATTTTACAGTTTTAAAAGATGTTAATTGTGTGATAGAATTTCCCATGTACATGAAATAAAAATTTCAAAGTTTATATTTACAACTTTTAGCTATGGCTTCATATTTTTCTTCCTATTTTTATTAAAACAAACAAAGGGAGTTATTGCAGTTCAATACTTCTTCCATCTATATACCACTAAACCTATCCTGTTTATTTGTCTGTCTGTAACCTTCAATTAGCCAAAACAATTTGATATAAGGCAACAATTTTGGAATCGAGGTACCTCAAGTGCTGTAATTGAAAGAATGCATAGAAAACCCAAGACTCATTAACTTCCACTGGTTGCAACTTTAAGGATCCTCAAACAAGTTGTATGTGCAAATATGTGATCACTGCAATGCCATTGCAATCACCTGAGGTCATATGATTATGGTTTCTGACACTTCCCTCCAGCTTCTCACAGCAAAGGGTCATTCCCAGTCTCACCGCTTTTTTGCCTGCCCATAGTCATTCTGTGTGCATTTGAAATGTGGATTTACAGACAGCTGTTACGTATAAACTAGGTTGACAAAATCACAAATGAGGAGGTGATGAGCCGCCTGGGTAAGCAAAGGGAAATCATCAAAGCCATTAAACAGTTCAGGTGAACACAGAAAGGCTGGTAAGAGATGGCCCCTTCTTCCCTTTGCAGTTTTCAGTCTATCCCAGTCATGTTTTTAGTCCTCTCCATCCTTCTCTCTCTCATCAGCTGTCGCCACTACCATTGATATCTAGCACTGCCTCTCCCACTGGATTGCCTGCCCAATATTTTTCAAGTGCCTTCCCTTTCCTCCCCCTAGCTGCTGCAATACAAGATCCATTCATCCAAGTTGTAAGAGCAGAATCAACCCCGAAGACCACACAGATACATGATTAGCAAGGCCATCTCCTATCCTGAACTATACCCATTGATAACAGCCAATTCTCAAACATTTTCCTAAAAGCCATCGGGATCCTGTCTATATGGATCTCACGAGTAATATTATTTCAAAGGGTAAACACAACAACAAAGAAACAATATTTTATGGGTTCCAATACTTAATTGATGACACTTGGAGCATGCTGACCTGGTCTGATTTTATAGGACAGAAAGAAACAATTCAAGAGGGGAGAGGTTGCCTTGTAAATATTCATGTTTTATGCCATAAAGAGCATTATAGATGATCACCAGCATCTTGAATTGTTTCCAGAAGCCAACTTGGAGAGAGTGTAGCTCGCAATGTTACAAGTTTACATGGGCATATTGTGGTGTGACCATAATTACCTATGTGCTAAATTCTGGATCAGCTATAGCTTCCAAGATCTTCAAGGGCAGCACCACGTAAGGCACATGCTGCAATCCAACCATGAAGCATAGAAGAAATGAGTAATAGTGAAAATGACCTTCTCATCTCACTCGTTCTCCTGACCTGTAATTTTCCCAGTCTTTTCCTACCCTCCTACCCCTTCAGCCATCCCGGCTGCTTCATTTTTGGCTTTTTCCATGCTTTCCCTCATTCCAGTATGTTAGCCTGGAACATGTATGTTTCAGGCCAGGCCCAGGGCAAAATGGTCCAATTGTGTTCTGCAAATGGAACAAAACTTTTGAAACTTGAGTTTCAGTTCTGAACTGAACACCCCCAAAATGAACTGTGCAGAGAAACATGGAACAATTTGTACACTTTCCAAGTGAGATGCTTCTATTGAGCCTCCTTCTCGGTCAGATCCAATTTGAACTGAGCTGTT